ATTTAAGGTACGATTGAAAAATATGGAGGTGTAGACATCTTCACAATCAAATACAGTACTTTCAAGTTTTGTGAAAACACATCTACCTTAGGATCCTCACTTAGAAACTTAACGTCTAATATAGAGTTCTCAGTACTAAGGACACTATTGAAATATAATAGTTTAACTTTATCACCTCCAATCAATTGATTAACATTATTATAAGAGTTTAGTATACTTTGAAGATATCATCCTTTTTATTGAAATTTCTAGTAGATATATTTTATCACTGTGTTCATTCTAGATCTGCTTATCATAACTTTACACTAAACAATTAATTAATAAATACTTCAGAATTTATCAAAAAGGGGATCTGTGGAGATTGTAGTAATTGAATAGTCAAATTCATGATAATAATCATCATATGCTCATTAGTGATTGACTTAAAGAGGTATTTCTTGGATTTCTAGTGAGAAGCCGTGTTCAGTGGAGTTCATTAGTGTCTGTTGTACAACAGTAACTCACTGAAAACAATGGTGAATGTGTCGCTTAATTTCGTGGATTGGTTGAAGTCAAACATTAGCACCATTAGATGCCCGCTCAATAGTCTAGAAGTCAAGCATTCACGTGAGACCGAAGGTTCTGAGTTCGAGTCTTGCGAGAGGGATCATGGATGCGCACTGCTTAGGAATCCCATACTATGACGGAACGGCCGTCCAGTGGTTCCATATTTTCCATGATGATCTAGCTTTAATTGACTGATGAATTCAACTATTAAATTACTTCAGAATTTATTTATTTGACAGATTCCTGAATTGAGACAGTTAACAAATTTTGTTATTTTTAAGTTAAATAAATGGGTGTTAAATTTTTAGTTGTTAACCACTGTTCTATGACAATGTACACGTTTAGACGTGTTATGTAGATGGTATTTAATTAATTAAACAAAACGGTACAACTCTGTCGCATTTTAGTTAGTTGAAAGCAAACATTATTAAACCTATTTGCCTAGATTTTGTTTATAGTTTTCTTGTAACTCCCTGTTGATGAATAGTATATATATACTACCCATCAACAAGGCGTTACAGGGGATTCCAATAAGATTTTAACCGACGTCATTTGACATTTTCAACAAGAAACTTTATTATCGATATAAGCAAAGATGAACAGTGGCTAGCAATGGAATCCAGTTTGACGCACGATTTGCCCTATTTCGGACTCGTCAGCTGGGTGTACCTGCGTTTCAGGATTGATGTCCACTCTGGGACTCGAACCCAGTACCGTTCGATTCAAACACCATCACGTTATTCACTTAGCTACTGAATCCTGATAGTCACTTGTTTGTGAAATTATATACAGTTTAAATTCACTTGGTATTATTGTTTACATGAATCTTCTCATTGGTGTTTAGGAGTGCAATTGATCGAGTCCCAGAGTGAAGATCAACTCTGGGATGGAGGTACATCTAGCTGACGTGTCTCAAATAGGGTGAAACGCGCGTTAAACTGGATTCTAGTAATAGCCACCATCCATCTCTGCATATAATACTTGTGAATTAAGACAATATCGAGGCAATACGCATTGTATGCATATATGCCAATAAGAGACTGATCGATTGCAATCCTATACATCAATGGAAATATTCAAGTAAACAATAATACCAAGTGAATTCAACATGATTTCTGTTCAGCATGACATGATACATGAGATTTTGTTATGATTTTAGATGTATGTATCTCTTTTCTAATCAATAATCGAGTTTACAAATCGATCAAGAAATAAGAAAAGGTAACTTATTGACATACTATGTGCTAAGAACTCTTTATTGAACCAAAGAGGGAATATTGAATAAAGTCATTAATAATAATAATAATAATAATAATAATAATGCCTAAATGAGTGTATTTTCAACTAAGGTCGTCGTGTTTTTGAATAAATAACTATTCACTTGTACCAATCGATTGTGTTCTTAATTCGTGTCGTGGGAATTGTAGTGGTTTCTTGTTTTTCAAGTATAAATCATAGCTGACGCAGATATAACAACAGTTATTGATTAAATCTCAAGCGCTGAAATGACGACATTTGACCTTGTTTATTATTTCCGGTTGTGGAAGAATTAGTGTTTTAATTATGAAGTAGAATTCTTTGATTAATAATAGAGTCACTAGTTGGGAGATGACCAGATTTACTTAAGCATTTTGGTCCTCTATGACGTCATAGAGGACCAAAAGATGAAGCTACAAAGGACACTTACGTCAGAACACTTGGAAATCTTGACAACAGCCATCGAGATATCATGCAAACGACACAGAGAACAAAGAAGAAACACCTTAAAGAAAAAAATGATCAAGAACTCAAAACCACCCATGGAAGAAAACACAAACAATTGCGTGATAAATTTGTCAAAACAACCACTAACAAATACGGAAGAACACCTACTCCAAAAAGGATTAAACTACAATACAAGCGACGCCTCAAAGCTACAGTTCTTCGCAGCACTGGAGTCATCACTCAAAACTTCGGGAATCAGTGAAGAAACACAACAGGAAATAAGGCAAACTATAGTACCGATAACTCAACAGGTGAAAGAAAACAACCAACTGACTCCACAAGAACAAAAGGCATTGAAAGAACTCAGAAATAGAAAAGATGTTATCATAATACCAGCGGACAAGGGACGCACCACAGTAATCATGGACAAAGAAGAATACATCAACAAAGCCGAGGAACTACTCGAAGATAAGAGCACATACAAACTGATGGACACAAATCCCGTCAAAAAATTAGACAATCAAATCTCAAAGACTTTAAACAACCTAGTCAAAGCAGGAGAAATAACAAAAAAAGACCAATGGAGAGTGAAATCCAGTGGACCAGTACTCCCTCGATTCTACGGTAGACCCAAAATACACAAACCAAACATCCCACTACGTCCAATAGTAGCACTCCCCGGAACACCAGCGTACAATTTGTCAAAAGAAATTTCACGAATACTGAGACATCTAGTAGATTCAGCCAACCACTCAATCAAATCCCCTACACAATTCCTGGACCAAATTAAGGACATCCAAATCAACAACGACGAACTGATGATATCCTTCGACGTGACAGCACTATTCACCTCAATTGAACCAAAATTAGCAAAAGAAACTATATCCCTGTTGCTCAACAACGACACAAATCTCACTAAGTACACGAGGCGTGAAATTCAAAGTCTACTAGAACTCATCGATTTATGCCTAACAACATACTTTCAATTCAACAACAAAATTTACGAACAAACGAAAGGGACACCAATCGGATCACCAATATCAGGATTGATCGCAGAGGCAGTGATGCAAAGACTAGAAGCCGCTGTATTACCAGTGATCAAACCAAAAATTTGGATTCGCTACGTAGACGACACTTAAGCATTTTAATTTTCAATTTAAATGACAAAAGAACACCAGGTTTTTGTTTTACTTTACTTCACATTTAACTGTGTAAATCACTATTAGTCTTTAATATGTATGACTAGTTGACAGTTAAGTGGAATAATCAAACATCCCGAAATCGAGCAATTCCATTACATTTCAGTTATGTAGTTCAATGTAAAATATTCAGGGCCATCTTTAACCAAACCTCTCCTTATGATTCTTTAACTAATTTATGTCCCCCCTATATACGAGTTTGGAGTAATCATTCAAGACGATTATCAGTGTACCTGCTCCCAACTAGGATAGCTTACTGTTGTTATTATGGGACTTGAAAATAGCTTGAATAATTGGTTAGCATTGTGTGTTATTAATGAAAATAAACTTAATACTACATAAACTCTATCAAATTGTTATAGCAACATATCAGAACACATGGTACATTTTATCTGAAACTTTTGTATTGAGGTTTAGAAATAATGGCCGTCCAGTGATTCCGGATTTTCTATGGTGGTCTAGCTTCAATTGAATCATGAACTCAACTATTAAATTACTATCATATCCTCAAAACTTCGTTCTGATAATAATGAGACTGATAGTCAATAGGTCGCTGGTTTAGATATGAATTACTAATACTATGTACTCAATAGTGACTAGCTTTGTGAGGGAGTTCCTGGAATTCTAGTAAGAAGCCGTGCCCAATGGAACTAATCCATGTCAGATAGAGACAGTTATCTACCTCAATACAATGAATGATTTTGATTGAGATCATGGACTGATTGATGTTAGACCACCGTTGAAAACCTGGAAGCACTGGACAGCCGTTTCGTTTTGTGGGACACCTCAACAGTGCACATCCACAATCCTGCCCGTGGGATCCAAACCCAGAGCCTTCAGTCTCGCGCGCGAACGCTTGAGGTACTGAACCACTGAGCCGGTATCCAATGGTGTTAATGTCTAACCTCAACCAATCCACGAAGCCGTGACCAGTGGAGCTAATCCTTGTCAGGTAGAAACAGGTGTCTATCTCAGTACAATGAATGATGTTCACGTAATTTCGTGGATTAGTTGAAGTTGAACATTAACACCATTGGATACTAGCTCAATGGTCTGAAGGTTAAGCGTTCGCGTACGAGACCGAAGGTTCTGAGTTCGAATCCCATGTGTTGGATCATAGATGTGAATTGCTGAGTTGTCCCACAATAGAACGAAACAGCTATTCAGTGTTTTCAAGTTTTCAATGATGATCTAACCACAATCAGTTCATGATCTTAATTAAACTACACAAACAAAAGATTAATATCGTCACATTTTAATTAACCCATTAAATAGATATATTTTCTCATTGGTTATTTAATTATAATACTCATAAATCATACAATCGTAAGGACATATACATATTGACCAATCAGCTATTTACTATATGCACATCAATTTGGACAATTGTCCAATCAAATTAAAACAAAACAAAAAAAAAAGCAAAAAAACGAAAAAAAACTTTAGAGAGAGAGAGTGAGTTGTGCGTGCCTGCGTGCGTACGTGCGCAGTGTGTGTCTGTGTTGCACACATAGAAACAATCTATTGGATAATTAAAAAGATTAAACTTGACAAAATTATATTTATGTATATATATATATACATAGTAACATTAATTAAAAAACCTAAGTCCACCTTTAAACTTGTGTCATTTAAAACTAAGAAAAAATCTCTTTCATTCATTTAAATTATGAATAAAATAAGAGTAAATTAAAACAAGAAAAAACAAAACAAAAAAGAAAAAAATTCTTTTTTTTCTGTGATTCATTTCATTTTTGAGGAACTATTTTTTATAGAATTTAAATTATTATTATCATTATTATTATTATGTCAATCAATCATCAAAAAGATACAACATTAACAAAAATTTTTGTCGGTGGATTACCATATCATACAACAGATGAAAGTTTACGTTGTTTTTTTGATCAATTTGGTCCAATTGATGAAGCAGTTGTAATTACTGATAGACAAACAGGAAAAAGTCGAGGTTATGGATTTGTAAGTTGTTTTTTGTTGTTGTTGATTCATTCATTATATTTTTTTTGATTTATTTCATTTTATTTATTTATTTGAACACATAGATGTTGGTACAGGGGGGGCACCAAATACATATACGCCACACAAATCTCATTTGATATGTGTGTGAGGGCTGTGATACTGTCCGGGTGCTCAGACCGAAGTAGGTGGTTTTCTTTGGGAGACACACCCGGAGCCTTCGCCCTAAAGGTCTAATCCACAAGGTAGTGGAGCATCGTAAGGAGATGCAGTCCCATGGTAGCCAGTGACCAACAATTGGTTCATACGCCATTTGTTCGTTCAGGATTCTGGAGCCCATGTGGAGCATTTGTTTAGAATCACGGTTTTCCAACTTCTCTAGGTGAACTGTCCATGTCCACCAACCTGAATAAAGCGCCAAATATTCGCTTTTCGTCCTCTCAATTTCGTAATGCCATGGCATTTTAGTTGATGTCATTTCGTTATAAAAACCATAAATCTAAATCTAAACCTTTACCATCAACTGCAAATCATTATTTTTATTCTTTAGATTACTTTATAATCTTCATTTAGCCCTATTAAGTAAGTAGACACTCTTAAGATCGATTTGGCGTCGCTCAAAGGTCGTCCATAAGTTATCACTTACTTACTTACGCATTTCATTCCCAATAGAGCATGGATCGCTCTGACAAGCATTCTCCAACACACACTACTCAACTCTGACTTCATTTCTAGTTATAAACAAATGATGTTCATTATTCTCATGTCTGTCTACATTTCTCGATGTAATGTATTCTTTGATCTTCCTCTTCACCTCGTTTGGCCTTGAGGATTTCGAGTGAGGACTTCCAGTGCTTCTTCCTGATTTATTCTTTCACTGGAATCTGATTTGTTCTCTCACCGAATTCGATATCAATTTATTATTTTATTAAGGTTCTAAGAAAGAAATATGAGATTATTATAATTGAGTAACTATTGAAAACTCATTTGATATTGTCATACCTTCAAAGAATATTATTATCATGTAAATGGTACTTTGCAAACAACAGAATTAAGCAATATGGGAATTAAATTAAATGTAATATTTGTATTTATGTCATCTCAACGATTGAAATCTAGTTAATTTCAATGTTTTATCCTGCTGTTCGGGTTTGAACTTTTTCGGAGTAGGAGGGGGGGGGAGAAGTATAATAGTTTATTAACATTATCAAAGAATATGTATACGCATAAATAACTATGCTAAATGTATAATATCAAAAATTAATGTTGTATTTCGTTGCTTTCTCTTGAGATAAACACAACCTAATAAGTTCAGTTATTTCGATATTTTATACAAATGAGGAAAGCTTTCGAAAATCAGTTAAGTTACGTACTACTTACGCCTGTTAACCCTCGTGGAGAAGCGAGAACCGCCCATCAGCATTCTTCAGACAAATTTGTACGATGTTTTCTTTCCCAGTAGTTTGCAAGAGCTATTCATTCTTCTATTGTCTGCTTCAATTCCCAGCTCTGTGTGTGCTCTGGTTTTATTTGAGTCTTTATTATTGGCGTTAAAGACTTCAATAGATCAGTCTCCTTTTGGAGTATGTGTATTCAGTACGAATTGCCTCGATATTTCCATTATGTCTCAAATATTTAAAGATTTTAGGTTTCACTCTAAATGGTATTAATCTATACAATTTCACATTTTTATCAGTCTTTACGATATCAATAATCATTAGATGAACAAACATGTACATTTACAATTACATGTATCAGTATAGGGTTGTGGAGATTATCAAGTTTTTGATTGAGATCATGAACTAATTGATGTTAGACCACCATTGAAAACCTGGAAGCACTGAACAACCGTTTCATCCTATTGTGGGATTCCTCAGAAGTGCACATGCACGATCCTACCCGCGAGATTCGAACCCAGAACTTTCAGACTCATGCACGAACGCTTAACCATTAGACCTCTGAGCCGGTCGGCATCCAATGGTGTTAATGTCTAACTTCAACCACTTTACGAAATTGAGCAACCATTTTCCACTGTTAAGAAGTCACACAATAGGACGAAACGGCTATCCAGTGCTTCCACGTTTTCAATGGTGTTCTAATATCAATCGGTTCATGATCGTAATCAAATACAATTAGATGTATTTCACTAGTTCCATATTTGTCATAGTTAGTTATAAAACCCTCATTTTATTACATTATTAACTATTAATTTATTTGAAAATATTTAACATGATAATTTCTCACGTGAGATTAATCATTAAGGAAGGTGTACATATTGTGTATTTCAATAGTACATATACATATATACAAATATGTTTTGATGAAATTTGTTCATCTTGATTAAAAAACAATTTCTTCTCAATTATTGATTAATTGTAACTAAAGATAAATGGTGGCTAACAGTGGAATCCAGTTTGACGTCCTATTTTGAGACTCGTCAACTCGATATACTCGCATCTCAGGATTGATGTCCACTCTGGGACTCGAACCCAGTACCGTTCGCTTCAAACAGCATCGCGTTATCCACTTAGCTACTGAGTCCTAATGAACACTTGCTTGTGCAATAAGGTGAAGTTTAAATTTATTTGGTAGTGTTGTTTACATGAATCTACTCACTGATGTTTAAGATTGTAATTGATCAGTCTATTATTGACATATGTGCATCCTGTGTATATTGCCTTGATATTCACAAGTTCTAATCATCAATGGGAAGATCCAAGTAAACAACAATATCAAATGAATTTATTGACTAATTGATTTATTTGTTTCTTTTGAGCATTCATTATTTAAAACTGCATTATATAAAAATTACAATCAATCAATCAATCAATCAATCAATAAAGACTAATTATCAAGAATAAAGAATATCACATGGATACAAATGAGAAAATTTCTTTCTTTTCATAAGTTTTTGACAAAAACTGAGAAATAGATCAGTAGGATGTTTGTTTGTTTGTTTGTTTGTTTGCTTTTTGGTAAATTAATTGTACTTTTTATTGATTATTATCATTGTAAAACGGAGATTTTATTTTGTAATTAACATTGAGTTTAATCTTATTTTCTCAATTAGAATAAAATAATGAGATGTAGATAGTGTTAGTGTTAGAATTAATGAATGAAGAATACCAATGGTTGAGATCATGAGTCAACTGAAGCCAGATCAATGTGGAAAACCTGGAAGCACTGGATGGTCGTTTCGTCCTATTATGGAAGTCGTCATCAATTCGCATCCACCATCCCACGTCGTGAGATTTAAACTCAAGACGTATCATTCTCACGCTCGCGCGCGAGAATAACTAAGCTTTTACGGTTGAGACTATAATTCATGGATTGAATCAATCAGATTTGAAAACAACAGGTCTTGGATTTTGGAGAGAAATTCATTCATCCATTTGTCCAAATAAAGTTTTAGCATTTTAGCTGATGGCAGTTCATAATGAAAACCTTAAATCTAATTCCTAACCCTAAGCATCAACTGTAAATCATAATCATGATTTAGTTGTACTAAGTAAGTGAACATACTCAAGTTCATTTTAGTGTCGTTCAAAGGTCGTTCATAAATTGTAGTTTCATCACTTTTAGTGTTAACTGTAATGAAGGTTATTATTATTATTATCATAAATAACCATGTGGTAATATCCTTGATTGTGGTATTCAGTGATAAGCACTTGAATGGATGAGTAGCAAAGTCTAATTGTTTCAAAACAGCACTCACACTCATATAGCTGATTTCTTACCTTGTCTGACAACTTCATTGATTGCATTCAGTTGTTTCGTTTAAACATATTTATCCTTTTAGTAAAATCTAACGGTTAAAATTTGATTGGTTAATATGGTGATTAATTAATCACGTCAACAAATGACCATAGACAGTCAATAAACGACACTGTGAACCAGCAGAAGAGCATTTATTTTACAAAAGCTCTTAGAAAACAAAATCTTTGCGAAGGATGTTGTGTTTACTCTTATTATATTTATTATTCTTGACATTTCTTTCGCATCGACGATGTATTATGTTTGTGTATTTCCTTACCAAGTGGATCCCTAGTCAACTAATTGTAGATTTGATTAGCGATTGTCTGAGTTCTTAGTTCAGGACTAATGGATGAAAACCCGGTAACTTAATGGTAACGGGCTGATCACATAGACCGATAGGTTCTGTGTTCGATATCTGGCGGGGTGAGATCGTGGATGCGCTCTGCTGAGGAGTCCCATACTAGGACGGAACAGCCGTCCAGTGTCTCCAGGTTTTCCATCTTGGTCTAGCTTCAACTGGTTCATGAATCCAACTATAAGTAAATTCTGTTTTTTCTAGAGTTGTTTCATACTTGTCATGAATGTATGAAAGTTAAAACTAGTGAAATGTTTGTTAAAAACAACGGTTTCTTTATTCCAGCTTCCTTATTTTCTTCTTTAAACTGGTGTATTTCATCATCTATTAAAAATTTAGTCAGTTGTTTCTAAGGTTTAAAAGTACTATTGGTGCCGTTGTAATGTAACCCAATTAACAAATGGATTTATATATATTCAGCTTTAATCTACACTTTAGCTATTCAAACAGAATCAGAAATGAACTGGAACTTGCAACCCAAAGACTGGCAGTTCATTGCCTTTTAGCTAGTTTACCACTTAATTTAGGGTTATAGATGAGTAACCCACAACTCCATTTGTAAACAAATTAAACGCTATCACCTTGAGACGGTGGTTGCTTATGACCTGATCGAGCTATGCTGGCTGAAATACACATTCCTTCGGGTCATATCATGAAAAGAAGGTCTGTTCGACAGCTGTAAGACTAAGACCATTAACTTAATGTCCGAAGTTAGAGTCATCCTTTCAACTGTATAAGGATGTAACACCATTAGGCTTTATCCTCTAGACAACCGGTGTTAACAATCATACGACCTTCTCACAACGGAAAAATGTTAGAGAAGGTTATCATTAAATATAGTACACCTCACCCTTACAGATGAATTTCTATCACCAGCAGTTGGGCTCTAGATTTGTGAAGCTGGCGAATAAAAAAAAGTGCTCACAAAATGCTTATCTGTGATCGGTATCGGAAGAAGCTGAGGCCATGCTACGAAATTAAAAAGGTTATTACTAATCCACATTCCTTATCATGTCTCTTTAGAATAAGCATCCTCATCAAGGCATAGACTACTGGGAAGTGATAACAATGTGGTAATGTGAAATAAAATCTAAAACTGACATGCTCTACTATTTAAGAATTCCACACAATTTTATTTTGATGGAGTTTTGTTCTCTGAGCTGGATGATTTGGTCGTGATTAGGTGTACCATTCTGCTTCCACTTTCCTTAGCTATTCTCCATCCCAATGAACAGTTGATTTGATGTCTGTATCTTAAACTTGTTGGTAGAACATGCTGATGAAGACAATCGTGAAGAAAATACAGTTGTTCTCGAGTGGAAGCCTGCCTTTAGGTTGAATTCTCCCATTCTCGAACAACGAGAAGCGTACTACGCTCATATGATTTTGGAATGGTGGAGAATATTTGTAGTTCAGGTGGATGATTTTGATAGAGTTTTGTTCTCTGAGCTGGATGGTTTGGTCAAAATCATCCACCTGAGCTACAAATCTTCTCCAACAACACAATTCTATGCGTTTTTTCAATATTTCGTTTAAAAACTTAGCTAAATTTCACTAAAAGCGTGATCATTGATTTTTATGTCAAATACTAGCCTTGTTCATAAATGATAATACAAGTTAATAGGTATGAAACCTGATAGTAACTTCCTGTGACCTGTAATCAGGTGACTTTAAAAAATCACCAAAACTTCAAGTTAAGGGATAAACATCTATTAGATGACCTTATTTATAATTACTTAAGAATAATGTATTATGATTTCCCTACTTGTCATTTTTTCCAATTTTGTAACCCCCTCCCCCCAAAAATGGGCAGATGCAACATATCCTGAGTATACTGCCATAATTCCGAATGTATACACTTTGTAATTCTTTACTTTGAAAATAGCCTGGAGTCATCTGGTGTAATACTACTTAGCTTCTAATTAGACAATCGGTGGAATGTTAGTATTATCATTTATCCTAAGGTGGGTGGTGGTACCAGTCACTTATTGATAAGGTAGGTCCTGGGACAAATGTGTAATCGCCAAAGTTCCTATACGATATCCGTGATATAACCCCATACTGATAACTACCATGTTCTCACTAGCGACTAGCTTCGTGAGGAAATTATAGGAGTTCTAGTTAGAAGCCGTGACCAGTGGAGCTAATCCATGTTAGGTAGAGACAAGTATCTACCTCAGTACAATGGAAGGTGTTGGTTAAGGTTGGATAATAACACCGTTGGATGCCGGCTCAGTGGTCAAGGTGTTAAGCGTTCGTGCGTGGGACTGAAAGTCCTGAGCTCGAATCCCGCGGTCAGGATCATGGATGCGCACTGCTGAGGAGTCCCACGATAGAACGAAACGGCTGTCCAGTGCTTCCAGGTTTTCAATGGTGGTCTAACATCAATCAGTTCATGATCTCAGTCAAAAACGTAATAATCTCCACAAACTCATACTGAAAAGAGCTTTTTTTGAACATATTTATATCTTGAAATGAACATTTACAAGTCTCTTAAAAAGTTCTATTATTTTGTTAACCTTAAAATGTACACAACAAACAAGTGCACTGTTTGAAGATGACAAAGAAAACAACAGTAGATGAAAATATATTGTCTTCCACTCTCACAACTCATCACCGTTACTAGTATGCATAAGTCACTATAATGTTCTATATCGTTAACGCCTGTTATAACGTGAAGTAATATGGTATTTCTCCTCCCCCGCTTAAATTCACCCTGAATACATTGTGTATACACCTACATATACGTGGCTAGAATACGAAAGTTTAAATTTCTCTAGTCTTGTCTTACATTTGTGTACTTTTCAAGTAAAGACCATGAAAATAACAACAACAAAAAGAATTTTTTTAAAAATGTAAACAACAAGGAACCAAAATATTGTTCTTTCAACTGTTTAGCATGTTTCCAACTAAACACTAAGTCATACATTACTAGTTAAGTAGTCGTTTTTAATGGTTTTAATTCTGTAGATTGATTTTATTTTGATGGAGTTTTGTTCTCTGAGCTGGATGGTTTGATCGTGAAGCTTTTGTCGTTCTTCTGAACGACATCATCAGCACAAACGATGAAAGCTCCTCGACCAAACCATCTACCTCAGTGAACAAAACTCCATCAACATCATCCACCTGAGCTACAAATCTTCTCCACCATCTCAAGACTGACTTTATTTATGAAACAAGTTTAGTAAGCACTAGTTAATATATCTCTATGAGTTCAGTGGTGCAACATTATTTCAGTTGACTGATTTATAGAGTGTTATATATATTATTTGTGATTTCAATTTGACAAATGAGCTTTCAAGTTAATATTCAATTGAATAGATATAACCTCTTAACCGTATCTCTTTTAATCTCTATTCATTAAAGGAACTCTGGTTTACATAAACTTCATGGTTGGCTGTTGGAAGGTAGTATTACAAACCATTACACAGTTAGTAAAACTCAAAGCTGATTAAATTAATCTTTAGTTATATAACATCAAATGCACTGATACGACCGAGGGTAGGGATAATCCGCTTTCTCTCTCTCTCCAAATGCTCTCACAAGGCCACGTGCATATAGTCACTGACAGGGAAGTTCTACTCACCGAATCCTCGTGTTAGAAATGTTGTTTACGAAAGTGATAGAGAATATCCGTCGCTTTAGCCGGGTTAATGGATATGGAAGATCTAACTAGGGGTGTTAGAAAACCCTGATTTCAAACCAGTGGTGCACATGGTATCCAGGATCTTAAGGAAACAAGTGGTGTATGAATCTATTATTGGTCACCGGCTACCATGAGACTGCATCCCTTTATGTTGTTTCACTGTCTTGTGTATTAGACTTCCACGTCAAAGGCTCGGGGTGTGGCCTCCTCAGTAAACCACTTCATTTGGTTTGGGCGTCCGGGTAGTATTCTAGCCCTCATACAAATCGAATGGTTTGTGTCGTGCACATACATTTGGTGCCTCCTTGTACCAATGTCTATGTGTTTAACTAAATAAATAAATGGATTCTGATTAATAAAATAATTGTTGTACTACTGATTTTTCTTAATAGCATAAAACATTCAGAAATGTAACTTCATTAGATACTTATTCAACATAAAAAAATTATATATATTTCTTACTTTTAAAAATTAGGTAACTATGACTCGCACTGAGGATGCCTTACTTGCTATTCGTGATCCTAATCCATGTATTGATGGTCGTAAAGCCAACGTGAACTTAGCGGTACTTGGAGCTAAACCTCGTCTTATGCCTGGAAGTAAGTTATAACTTATCTTATAAATCGTACATTCAGTGGTTTTGTAGTCACTGAACCTTTCAACACTCATTTTAATTGATGATAATAATATGAATTTATTCTGTTTGTGAGTGAATTTCATTGACATTATCTCCAAACTTATTTCTGGAAATGATTATCATTGAACAGAAACGTAGATTGATTTCAGTAAGAGGCTGTGGAGATCGGTGGATTCCGTTGAAGTCATGAACCGATCAATATCAGACCACCATTGAAAACTTGGGAGCCCTGGACGTCTGTTTCGTCTTAATACGGGACTCCTTGGGTGTTGACATCTACAATCTCACATGTGAACCAAAGACTTAGGGGCTCGTTCACGAACGCTTCATATCTAGACCACTGAGCCTGAATCCAACAGTGTTAATGTCTAATTTTAATCAATCCACGATATTGTGTGACCATCTCCGATTGTCTTCGGTGAGTGACTGCTTCACAATCGATAGAAGATCATGGATTCTCACTGCTGAGGAGTCTCATACTATGACAAAACCTCCATCTAGTACGTCCATCATTTCAGTGGTGGTCTAACACTGATCAGCTTACGAGCTCAATAACATAGATTGTTGTAGGAAGTTGAGTTGAGTTTCATTTATGTATTTCAGTGTATCTCAAACCTTTAAGAGAAATAAATTAACTAATCTCAAAACTCTAAAAACTACTTTGTAGTTAGTTATTGCTTCAAAATGATGGCTCGCTTTCGACTCTTAAATTGATGAAATCATTAACCTTGTGTAGTGTCATACATTTTCATGGAGATATCAATTATTGTATGTATGCTAATAACACTAAATATCTGATCATACTTGAGTTGGTAATAAACTGATGGACTGGCTGAATGTTAATTACTTAGAATATGGACCTGCAGCGAGCCTATAATTTATGGATGAACCAGTTAGATTTTAAATAACAGATATTGGATTTCAAAGCGAAATTCATTCATTGATTTGTCTAAATAGCGTTTTGTCATCATAGCTGATGTTAGTTCATGATAAAAACCCTAAATGTAATTCCTAACCTAACTAGAAATCACAATTCTAATTCTTCACACAAGTTTATAACCATGAATTAGTCCTAGTTAGTAGGTGGATATTCTCAAGTTCACTTAAGCGTTTCTCATTTGTTATCTATAAATCACCATCTCACTAAACCTATAGTTTTACAAAACTCATGTTAGTCATCAATGTCTTTCATAGTTTAATAGGAAAATGTCTTAAACCTGATCGATCACTTGTACTACTTTTACAAGGAAGTCATTAGTAGTAGTGGTATGAATAAATCAACTTATTTACTTATAATATTGTTGTATATTCATGTCAGTATTTGTGCAAGTACATATATATGTAAACAATTTCTGAGTCATAAACTGAATGATTGTGTTCATATACAAGTATGTCACTTTAAATGCTTCACTCAAGTACTTAATTACACATATACATGAATGGAAATACTGAAAAAAATAAACATGAGTTTATAAGCAAAAAAATGGATAGTGGCTAGTAGTAGAATCCAGGACATGCATCTCGTCTTAATTGGTACTCGTCAGCTGGATCAACCGTCATCTCAGAGTCGATGTTCAAACTCTGGGACTCGAACCCAGTACCATCCGCTTCAAACGCCATTACGTTATCCACTTAGTTACTAAGTCTTGATAGTCACATACTTGTGTAAAAATGGAGTTTGTTAACGAACACCATTCTAATTGGAGAACTGTTACTCAGTTTAACAGTTATTTCACGTCATCAACTGATTAATTAGCTTATCGTTTTTTTTTGTTTTGTTTACTAAGATGTATAATTTTTCGCTAAAAAGCATGTTTTAAATGCTTATTATCATGTTAATTTCATCAACTATACAAAGCTGATTCTGTATTATGACACTGAAGTTTGTAGTTAATGATTTTCATTCATTAGGTCAAGGCTGTCTCTTTTCATTCCCGTAATTTTTAAGATCTATCTCATAATAAATGTAACATGGAACTAAAAGTATAATGCTGTAGATGGTAATTGATTGACTTTGTTCTTTTGTGAAATGAAAATGAATTGACTAAATACTGTCAATGATAAAAATACCCGACCACTCATGTGTGTATATCATACTTTGTAGGATTGGACTAAGAGTTTTTAAAATTGAGTACAAACATCAAAACAAAAGAATCTCCATGTACTCGTTTATTATGCTTAAATAACTTCTTGGATTCAAATAATAGAGTTTAAGATGTTTGTTAAGCATTATTCTAGGCCATTCAAATGAGGTAAGGATGGCAAATCAATTGATGACGTAGTGAAACTTCATCAGTTGAGATGGCTGGGACACGTGTTACGTATGCAGAACCACTGACTGCCCCGACGTGCGATGTTTTAGGGTGTAGAAGTAGGTTGGAAGAAAGTTAGAGATGGCCAGACTAAAATATGGCATAAATCCATGAAGTCACTGACAAGTGGACAGAGTGAGTCATGTTAGTAGGTGTAGACTACGTGATTGGGATCCATGAGATGATAGCAACCGATGGTTAGAGATCTTAAGTGACATGGCTCAAAATCGTTTATAATGGTTCAGGTGCATCCACTCTTTGTGTTCTTCCAATTTAGTATTATATCCTTTCCCGTTTTACCTATTGTTTTCACCTCAAACATGTGTGAGCCATCATATTCAATATTTGAAGGGAATCTGCAGTGTATTTGACATATGGCTGGGACGCGCGTTTCATCTTATTTCAAATTTTTTGGATAGAGAAACTTGAACTTTCGTATGAAATATCACCAACGTGAAATTCGGAACTCTTTCTGACAATTTCATATCCTTTGACCGGCTCGGTAGCTCTTTTGATATCATATTAGGATTTGAAGCGTAACGTACTTGGTTTGAGTCTCATTATGTTACATTGTCACTATGAGGAAGGTACATCTAAATGGTTAGATCACTCACATACTGGACATAAGATGAATTATAACCGTTTCAGCTTTAATCATTATCGTAGATTGTCTGATCACTGCTCAGTCTACTAGTTTAAAAATATATACTGTTGTTTGGTTTTGTTCTTCTTATGATGAATAAACCTAATCCCAGGGAATTTAGCTAAACAGAATAGAGCTAGTAGTCCATCGGACAGATATACAAGATGGTTTAAATGTCCCATACTTATATTCCACAACTCCCCAGTTGAAACTATCGTCATCATATCAGAATGGGTTTTGTGGAGATTTTAGAAATTTCACTGGTTGAAATCATGAGTCAATTGAAGCTAGATCACCATGGAAAACCTGGAAGCATTGGACGGCCGTTTCATCCTAGTATGGGACTCCTCAGCAGTGCGCATCCACGATCCCGCTCCCCGTGAGATTCGAATCCAGGATCTCATCATAACTTGTGATTTTAGCGTATCATCGACCTTTTACCACTATCAACTTGTTGTAATGAGTACAAGACTAATCTAGAGAAATCAAATTCTAATGATTGGTGATTTTTATTAGAAAAACGTTGATTACTAAAAATAGTATTAAAGTGTGAAGTGTATGAAGTATGTGTGCTCAACAAAAACAAACATACATTATTTTCTCTAATTGTGTTAATGCACAAATGTTACTGATCACAATATAAATAAGCATACACTAACACTTAGAATCAATATGGTTTAACAACAAGACGGAGCACTTCTTCATTCATATATATTGCGTGTGTGTGTGTATGTATGTACGTGCACGTATCTGAGCTGTGTATGTGCTTCCATCTTTAAGTCATTATTGAAGATAATAAAATCATAAACCTGATTAACCAATGTGCCATTATAGTCAACATTCTCATCTTTATTCCATTACCAACCGTATGATTGATCAAAGTTCATTAGGTGTAGTATCTTCAATACTGAGCATTTTTGTTATGCTTTATTATTATCATCAGTATTGTTACTATCTCATTATGATAAACAAATAAACAGATTCATAAATGATAAAATAAGAACAATCTATGGGGGGGGAGGGATTATTGTTTACCTTTTAATAAAACTAATTATTTATTTAGTGTGAAAACGTTTTGAACAGAAATGACTTGGTACAACAACATACTTAGATAGTCAATCAATTTTTTTTTTTTGGTATTTGCTCCATTTCATAGTGATTATACTGAGATTTGTATGCATTTATCTTATAATAATTACATTACTATTTCTTTACTCATATGAATTAATAGTACAAATAGATAACATTAAAAGTTGGATCATCAACTTTTGTCAATGAAACTATCTGTTTGAAAGAAGTATGTTACTTTCAATAGTTGAGGCCATGAGTTAATTGGCGCTAGACTATCATGGAAAACCTAGAAGCAATCGCGCACGAAACTGATAGGTCCTGGGTCCGAATCCCGCGAGGCGAGGTCGTGGATGCACACAGTTGAAGAGTCTCACAATAGAATGAAACGGCCGTCCAGTGCATTCGGGTTTTCCATGGTGGTCTAGCTTCAATTGACTCGTGATTTCACCGATTGAAATGACTACAAATTCCATAAAACCCATTCTGAGTATGTTACTGTTGGGAGTATAATATAATGTTTATCGGTCAATATTTAAGTAAACTTTTAGTTCTAATTAGCGAAGAAAATAGACTGACGGTGGACATTCATTTATTTATTTGATCACATAAATATTGGTACGAAGGGGCACTGAATACATATACGCCAAACAAGTCATTTGATTCGTGTGTGGGGTATGATACTGCCTGAGTGGTTAAACCAAACGAGATGGTTTCCATAAGGGACCACTCCCGGAGCCTTTGACCTAAAGATCTGATCCACAAGGCAGTGGAGTATCGTAGGGATATGTAGTCTCATGATAGCTGGTGACCAATAATTTGTTCATACACCATTTGTTCTTTCAGGATTCTGGAGCCGATGTGCACCATTGGTTTCGAATCAGGGTTTTCCAACTCCCCTAGGTGGACTCTCCATGTCCAATAACCCGATGAAAGCGT